TCAACTCAAGAACCTTTTAAATCACAGGAAAATGTAGGACCAAATCACAAGGAATAACCACAGTAAAGAATGCTAGGTGTAAAGAGAACAACTCAACAAAGGGAAACCAACACGAGTCAGATAATTCCAAATAAAACAAGTCGACCAAGATATAGGATATCTAAAACTTCTTTTAAGGTTGAGGAATTTCTAAGGATTTTTAACAATTTAATTAAGGACAAGCAGCAGAAAAATAATCATAACCTCAATTTAAGACTGAACAAATTATAAGATGATACAATAATAATTTCAAATAAAGATAAGCAGTTATGAAAATATAGCATGACAATAGAGGAGGTAAAGTCTTCAGTTAAGTCAAATAAGAGTCCAATAGGCAATAAGAGTGAATTCTGAAAACAATTAATTCTAATTAAAGCATGTAGAGGTGAAACTAGTAAATAGGAACTTAATCATATCAAGAACAACTTCATACTCAGTGAATAAAAGGACCTAAGGATCCTAAAAGGCCAACTTTCCACAAATGAGTCTGTGCACGCACTCGTCACCTCCTGCACACAGGCTACAATCAATATAGAAGACTCAAATCCTAAGGGGAAAATCCCCCACATAACGTTAGGCAAGATACTTACCTCGAACCAAGCTCAAACAATCGGTAAGAATGCATTTTCCTCAAATATTTGGCTCCGAATGGCCCAAATCTAGCCAAACACAATTGCATAACATGAATACAACAATAATAGACTTACCTAATCAATGAAATCAATATTTAATAAAAATTTCGAAATTCGCCTTAAAAAGTCGACCCGGGCCCATGTTTTGGAATTGGGTAAAAATCACAAAATATGAACACCCATTCACACACGAGTCCAACCATATAAGAAATACTCAAATCCGACCAGAAATTTTCTTTCAAAACTCGAAATTTTTATTGAAGAAGTTCTTCCAATTTTTCCCAATTTCAACCCCAAAAATCCGAAACTAAATGGAAAAAACAACTATAGATTAATGAAATACAACCAAAAATGAGTTAGGAATCATTACCCCAAAGCTTCCTCTGAAAATCTCTTGAAAAATTGCCAAATTCCAAGCTTTCAAGTCCAAAAATGAAGAAGGAAACCAAACCCTCGAATATCTCTTTTCTGCCCAAGCGTGACCGCACCTGCGCATAATTAGTCGCATTTGCGCGACCGCAGGTGCGCACGTCCAAACCGCACTTGCGCTTTCCTCTCGTTTCTGCAGAGCCGCTGATGCGCAAAATTTCTCTGCACCTGCGGAGACTATCAAGTCCAGCACTTCTCGCACATGCGCCTCAATTTTCGCATCAGCGGGAATCGCAGATGCGGAATTTTCCTCGCACCTGCGACCCTTGGAACTTCTCCACTTTTCCTCTTCTGCGCTTGCCTCTCTGCACGTGCACTCTCGCACTTGCGGTCTCTTCACCGCAGTTGCGAAAATACCAGAAGCCTGATGACTTAGTAGTAACACAAATCAAACTTTTAATCCGTTAAGCACCCGAAACTCACCCGAGGCCCCCGGTACCTCAACCAAACATAGCAACCAATCCTAAAACACCATACGAACTTAGTCGAGCCCTCAAATCACATCAACTAACATTGAAACTACGCATCGCACCATGAATCAAACTTATAAATTCTTAAATCTTTCAACTTCTAAAACTCGTACCGAAACCTATCAAATCAACCCGGAATGACGTTAAATTTTGCAGGCAAGTCCCAAGTAACATAACGGAGCTGTTCCAACTCTCGGGATCGCATTCCAACCCCGATATCAAAAGGTCCACTTCTGGTCCAAATCTCCAAAAAATTTGATTTTTGCCATTTCAAGCCTAAATCAGCTACAGACTTCGGATTTATAGTCCGGACACGCTCCTAAGTCCAAAATCAACCAACGGAGCTAATGGAATCGACGGAACTCCATTCCAGAGTCGTCTTCACATAGTTCCGACTACGGTCAAAATCCTAAGACTTAAGCTTCTATTTTAGGGACAAAGTGTCCCAAATCACTCCAAAACAACTGGTAACCGAATTCAACCACGCACGCAAGTCAATACACGTAATATGAAGCTTTTAAGGGACTTATACCGCCTAACGAGACTTAAATTCTTAAAACGATCGGCCGGGGTCGTTACATCCTTCCCCTCTTAAACAAACATTCGTCCTCGAACGTGCTAAGAATCGCCTCGAAGTCTTAAAATCACTGAAAGCACATATTCAACATACACCCGTGGGTGACCCCACGTCACCCCAATCCACATAAGCTTGACGACAACATCTCAACTGTGCAGTGGGTGTACTCTGAGACCCATGAGCACCTGAAACACTCGGCGAGGCCTGAAGTGCAAACTGATCTGGCTGACCCACAAAACCTCTACCATGTCGTACCCTGCCTCCAAAATAAGGACCAGTAGATCTCTCCGGTCTACGAGGCCTCCTCACCTCCCTGTCCTCTCTCTCTCCTGATCTCGTATGTACTCTCTCTCGTGGCCATGCCAATCTTCTCTCTCCTGGTCCCACATGCCCTCTACTCGGCGGCCGATCCCTACCACCTGCTGAAACGAAATATCTGACACTAACTCACGAGCCATGATGAACCGAATATCATGTCTAAGTCCCTCAATGAATCTACAGACACGCTCTCTAACTGTGGTGACCAAAGCAGGTGCATGCCTGGCCAAATCACTGAATCTCACGGCATACTCTGACACTGACATAGTGCCCTGGCGCAGCTGCTCAAACTCCGTGTGATATGCATCTCGAAGGGACTGAGGTAAAAACTCTCTCAGGAACATCTCTAAAAACCGAACCCATGTAAGTGAAGCTAACTCGGCCAGGCTACCCAACTCATATGCCCACCACCGATGGTACGCCGCTCCCCTGAGCTGGAACGTAGTAAAAGCAACCCCGCTCGTCTCCACAATACCCATAGTACGGAGAATGTGGTGACACTCCTCCAGAAAACCATGTGCACTCTCTGAAGCCAAACCACTAAATGTAGGAAGGTCATATTTCTTGAACCTTGCAAGTCTAAGCTTCTCTTCCTCAGATGTTGCTACCCAGACCACGGGCTGAACTGGGACCACAAGCTGTGTCGCCATGACACCTGGAACCTGACCAACATGAACTCGTTTCTCTGGGGTATGGGCGGCGGGAGTCTGGGTTCCTCCCCCAATTTGTGAAGTAGCTGGTGCAACCGGAATCAACCCTGCCTGAGCCAATTTACCAAACATGCTCAGGAACTGTGCTAAGGTTTCCTGAAGTCCAGGGGTAATAACAGGCGCCTCTGGTACCTGCTCCCTAACTGGAACTACTAGAGGCTCCTTAGCTGCTGCTCTGGTAGGTTCTCTGGCTACGACACTTACTACTCGTCGGCCTTTGCCTCTGCCTCTAGCGATACTTGCTCCAGGAGCAGTGTCGTCTATAAATGTAGCTCGTGTCCGCACCATCTGTGAGAGAATGGAATGATAAAAATTCAAACTCCGAGATCAATAAGCTCGCACGATAGGAATAAAAGAAGTGAGACTGTCCTAAAAGTTCCATAGCCTCTCGAAGATAAGTACAGACATCTCCGTACCGATCCGAAAGACTCTACCAAACTCGCTTATGACTCGTAGCACCTATGAACCTAGAGCTCTGACACAAACTTGTCACGACCCAATTTTTCCTCCGTTAGGTATCGTGATGGCACCTAGTCTTAGGGACTAGGTAAGCCTAACAATACTTAAAACAACAATATTATTTAAATAGAATCTATTAAAATTCCCAAAATCGGTAGTACAAGTCATAAGCTCTACAGAGTGTTTGCTAGAAAACTTCTAAATACAACTATCCAGAAATAAGAATAAACAGTGCAAAATGAAACCTCGAAGGTGACTCTGAAGCCTGCGAACGCAGCAACAGGTTTACCTTGAGTCTCCACAGCAACAGTCCACACAGCTAGCTAACGAACAAGTACCTGGATCTGCACAAAAAGGTGCTGAAGAGTAGCATGAGCACACCACAGCGGTGCCCATTAAGTATCAAGACTAATCTCGGTGGACTAGTGACGAGAAAAAGTCAAGACACCCACTGGTCTAATAAACCGAACAGATATAAGTACATGAATAACAGAAGTATGATGTCTACATAAAGATTATGCAATATGGCTCACAATACAGTAATGGCATTAAAGTAAGAAACAACAAGTATCAGCGGAACATCATGAAAATGATGCAGACAAAGTGAATGGAAGCTAAGCAATAAAGATTTATCACTTTTCTAGCCTCAGGTATGTCCTTGAAAGATATTCCCTTATAGAGTTCCTTGTAGTCGGTCAACCTATCACAAAATTCTTTTTTTTTGTAGTGCAAGTGTCTCTAAGATTTCAGAACCATAATCTGACTAGCAACTATCATCTTCACTTTCATTTGAACTACAATCGGTGGAAGCCTAATTATCTACTGTGGATTCAATGTGGTCAACAATATTAGGAACATTAACACCTATTTCATTATCCTCAATAGCAAATAAATTAATTATGTTGAATTGGTCAGAAACAAAAGTGTCACGCCCCGAACTCGGGGAGCGTGACCAGTTCTCAACCGAGTGAACCCGTCCGAGCAAGCCTATTAGATTTCATTCTACCCAAACGCATCCATGAATAAAGAGAATACATATTTTCGTTAATCAAACAATAAAGTGATCATGTCTGTAATACCAATTCTTATCATTAATTACTTCATTTTAAAGTCTCAAATTTTACACACATTTTTCATAGTCTGAAGTGGAATATGTAATTCAAATACAACATAACTAGTTTAACTTCCTCAACACTAATATACAACCCACACTATGTCTGCGGAGCCACTAATAGATACAAAAGAGTACTATGATAATGCCGGCAACAAGGCCCCGTCTATACCTCAAACACAATACACGAGAAACAAAAGATACATGACCCCGAAATGAAGTGGGGCTTACCAAGTCTGCTGGGAAGAGAGTGTACCGCTATCACTGATCAGTGTCTCCTTATGTGGAACCACCTGCATCCATTGAAGATGCAGCGCCCCCGGCAAAGGGATGTTAGTACATATAGAATAGTACTAGTATGAATGACAAAACACCTTCTCAATATAATGGTAAATAATACAAATACGAATAATCATAATATCAATGGAAACCTTAAACAACATCAAAGCTCAAATTCGGATCAAGACAGTGTTCAAATTAATTTTCATATCCTACGTTGGGAGATTTTTAGTAACAATAATGTCAACTTTCACAATACCAATATTCACATCACCAATATCATCATACTTGTAGCACGGAGTCCGATCACGACCCGATCGGCTAGGCCGTCTTATTTGAGACATCATCCCTTTATACCAATCATTTGGTTTCATGCCTCTTTCATATCTTTTCATTTCATTGGCACTAATGTCCACAATTACATAATTATTTTTGGCACATCAGTCGTATTTAGCATTTCATGCTCACCTTTCTCACTTTCAAACATCACCATCATCAACAACAACAAATCATTACAATCAAGGTTTCTAGCACATATGTGAGCAATTAAGAGTCTTAGACACATAGAGACTTTTCACCAATTTTGGCATAATAGCCTTTGTTCGAATTTGACTTGGAGTTGAAACATTATTATTGCACCGCCTATACTTTGAACATATTCTCAAATAACAGCATAACATGATAAAATTATTTTGGAATACCTATTGAACATATACCTTTCAACACAAGCTTATTCGGAATAGCCACTTCCATAATGAACAATTCGGGACTTACATAAATTACATGAATACCGTGGGATTCAATTCTAGGAGAGGAGTTTAGCCAATATACCTCAAATCTGTCCCTTAATGATACTACAATGATCCACTACACTAAAAAACTTCAATCTACAATAACAACATCCAATGGGACCAATATTAGTAACAAATTCCATAATTTAGGTCATTTAGGCATTTTATCAAACACCTAGTAAGCATGAATCTCTACACCTCTTAACCATAGAATTAGTTCATCCAACTACTACCATTTACCAATAATTTATCCCACCACCATTCTTAAATAATTCATAACTTCCAACATCACATACATGACCATCCATCCACACTCAACCAACAAAATTCCATCAAATAATAACCTTTCAATCTATAATGGTTATGTATTTAAATTGGGAACTTATGGCTTCCAATCACCATACCATAAGTTTTAATACTTAATTCATACTCATATTCTCATAATATATCCATACATATAGAAAAATAAGGATATGGGCTCGTGTAAGTAGGAAACAAAAAATATCTATTCTAGTTCTATCATCAGCTATGGGAACTCCAATGCATTTCTCCGTCTGAATCAGAATAAATATATTTTTGAACCTTCTCTTTAAAATTCAAAGTAGAAATATTTTATGATGAACATATAGGAAAACCCTCTTTGGATTTGCCAAAAATTTTTAGAATTCATTTATTTCTCTTAGGGGTGGCTTGCTTTGGTTTTGGTGCATTTCATGTAGCAAGCTTGTATGGTCCTGGAATATGGGTGTCCGACCCTTATGGACTAACGGGAAAAGTACAACCTGTAAATCCAGCGTGGGGCGTGGAAGGGCAAGATATGCACCTCTTCAGGAATGCAAAAAAATCGATCTATTTTCATTTGGCCCAATCTCATCCATTTTATTTTTGAAAACGTGGATTTCCAATGCCAATAAAAAGTAGCCCATCCAATAGTATTTAACATCCAAAAAACAGCCAAATAAAATGCGTCCCATGCCAAAATATCACAAGTACCGCCTCGTCCTGGGCCATCGCACGGAAAACTATAATCGAAAATATTTTTGCCAATACATTATATACATTTTGCTCCGGATTGTAATCTCTAATGAAAAATATTCAAACACTGTACCTAATGTATGGGATAGGGATCGAGAAAGGGGAAAACCCGAAGATTTCTAAGTGCATAGGATTACCTTTTGGAAGAAATCTTGCAAAACCCTCCTTTGAGTTCTTAAAGAAAGAAAATCTATGTATTTTATGAAGGATTGAGTTAAATTTAGGGTGAAATTGATGGAATGAAACCCCAAATTAGTAGGTATTACCCACCTTGAAGATGGGAGGAGTTGGAGGTCTTGAGAGACTGGAAGAAAATCCCAAAGTTCGGCTAAGAAAAATGGGGTAAAATAAACCTCGAAGGAGTATATAGCGTTTCGGGCGCCACAGTTTGGTGTGGGGCACTGCTTGTGGCGTTGATTCTAGTACCTAAAAGAAATCTCAGCGCCTCACGCTACCCCGGGCGCTAGCAATGGAAAATTGTTTCTATCTTTGCCCAAAAATGAGAATAACTCTCTCATACGATATTCGAATTCGACGATTCTTTTTGATATGGGTCTGTAATTTCAATATGGATCTAATTCTTCAATCAAAACTTAATTTGGAACTCATTTTCTTAATATGATACCACTTGTACTGGAAGAAACGACGTCGTTGAAATACTTTTGATGTCAAAATAATGCGGTTCCACCCCATAGGTCTCTTTTGATACTCGAATATGTTATTCCTGAATACCATTATCGCACTTTAAAATATTAAATTATTAGGAAATTTTAATGGGGCCTTACAAAAAGATTGTAAAGTCCTAGTACCCACATCCCCATCCACTTCATAATATTTACCAGAAGGAAAACATACTATTAGTTGTTGAACACCAACATATCCTAACTTGGAAGTATACTCATCTACTATATCTATGAAAGACAGAAGATCAGAATCATACTATTTCCAGCTGTGTACCAATGTTCTTGAATATACCACTTCTGAAATCCTAATTCAGTCACCTCCATAATGGAATAAAAGATCCACATTAACCATCTCTGTAATCTGCAGAACAAATAATAAAAAAGGATAAGAAACAAAACACAAATAAATTACAGAAACATAACTAAATAAAATCATAGTTGCAATAAGGGGACCACATAATTAAATAACAAATTAAATAGAAAAGAAAATCACGCAATACTCTTTCCAGCTAGAAACCAATAGAAAATGATAAGGGCAGGCACATGATTCAGATAAAGTAGAATAGAAATGAATAATTTGTGAAGTACAACACATTGAATGAGATAGTTGTCTTAGTCTCAATAAACAAAATATATGGGGGACCGTATTATAAAATTAAGAAATCATTAATGTTACACCTTCTTAAAAATACATGAATGCCAAATTAGGGACCATATGCCCTATCTACAAATAACAATAATAACTAGTGAAATATCTTTTTCCCCAAAATATATACAACAAACAACCAATGAAAATCATAAACTAAGGAACTTCAGCTTTATAACTCGTGAAACCCTAACCCACAAACCATAAACAATAATACTATAAATAAACCCTAACTCACAAACCAGAAATAACAACACCACAAATAAACCCTAACCCACAAACTAAAATTAACAAAAACTCAAAAACAAATGAAAAGTGGAATGAAAACAAACATGCAAACAAAAAGAATAACAACAACACTGAGATAAATAACTAGTAGCACCAAGATCAACACAAACATTCACGTTCTAAAAGTCACCTGGAACCGATAATCGTCAACATACAAACAAAAATCCTAACAGTAGTAACACAAACCCTAGAACATAAATCAAGATAAATACAAGAAATGAAGAAAAAATAGAAGTAGAAAACAAAATAAAAGTTTAATAGCAGTAGAAAAGTTATATCTTTAAAGAATTTTACAGCCAAGTCGGTAGTAGAACTTCACGCCCAAAATCGCATATCCATTTAGCTCTCAGAATAATCGAGAATTATGACCCTCTTTCTAGGATAACCGGGTTGAGGGTTTATATATTAATGGAGAAAACGTGTCACGGGTTATTTAGTAATGGATTGGGTTAATAATTTTCATCGTGTCATTTTTAAATAAAGCCTAATTGACACGATGAACAGCCGTCCAAAAAAGGGATAATTTAATCATGCTTGGTAACGGTAGGCTTTTAATTGGGCTTAGAGTATGACAGGGGACACTTTTAAACTATTAACTAAAGTAGAGGGACATATCAGTACCTTTTCCCTTAACTTAATGAGCGTCATAACAATTGAATCTTGCACTCGCTCTTACATAACTCCTTACTTTTCCTTTCCATGTGGGATTCGACTATGCAAGTTTCAAAGTGAACTGCTAGCTGCGGAACAGAGAGAGTCTGATAATTTCGTGCTTAAACACATCAATAATTCAGGTCAAATAGTACTTTCTGAAAATTTGAAAACACGTTCTTTATTCTTCCATCCATTTCAATTTATATAAAGTAGTTTGACTTGACACGAAGTTTAAGGAAAAAAAGTTTTGAAACTTGTGGTCTAAAAGTTTAAAAGGTAAAAGCTTTGTAGATCCAGGATATTTGTGTGAATATAAAAATTTCTCATTAAAGGTAAAATAAAATTTATAAATTAAATTATTTTTAAAAATAAAAATATATTATTCTTTTTTAAACGAATTAATAAGAAAAATGTCATATAAATTAAAATAAATGGAATATTGTGATGGTCCATGTTCAACTACAAAGATATTATCCTCTATATATGACCCCTCTAGCTACCTCATCAAGGGTTTTGGACTTTACAATTTTATTCCCTAGGTTTTAAACTAATAAGCGCCTTAACAATTAAATCATGAACTCGTCCTTAGATTAAATACTCCTTACTTTCCCTCATGTGGGATTCGCGTATATAAGTTTCATAGTGAACCCATTTTCAGTTTGACCATCAACGGTTCATGGCATGTTACATTTATCTCCTTTCGGGACTTAGCGCCCTCGTTTAGGTTTACTCCACCATCATATAGAGGGAGACTCTAATACCATCTATCACGACCCAACCCGATTGCCAAGATATATACTGTCCTCTTTAGCCTAACCCCTCTGGCCACCTCAAGGCTTTCAAGCCTCAAAATTTGTCCCCTTGAGCTTAACTTAAAAGGTGTTTCACAATTGAATCACGAACTTTATAATCCCAAACTTTTTTCTCATATTCCAACAAGTGATTTGCCTTTAACGTGCTCAGTACCCGAAGAACCATATTATATACTTTGAGAAAAATGGAAAACACCTTAGCGTTAAGAGTAAAATGCAGAAAAATCATTGGGATTGAAGTTTCAATTTTCTTTTTAACTATGGCTGTGAATCATCTTCATATCATTACATGTCACGTTATTGTGTAATTAAGACAACTCATAACTCATAAGCATGTTATTGCCTATCGGATAAACACACGGAGTATATAGCATATATATTTTTGTGATGAGTTCACTTGAGCAGTGCAAGTGCTTCATATGAAGCAAGCTAATTGAGCAAGAAAAGTCTTAGAGCATTATTAATTAATTCAATCTGTATTTAAAGTCCTATTGCAAAGTTGTACAAAAACATCAAAGTATGCAATAATATATTACCTGGAGGGTCAGTGACATATAACAGCATAAGCAAGCAAACGTAGAGTGACAAGGAACAAGTTGGGAACCTCATGACCTATGCCACATGGCTAAACCCTAGCCAGATGTCCCCATTCAAATATAGGCATCAACTACTTCATATATTGTTTAATCCGAAGGATTGCTCCATTTTAATCGATAAATGTTTTTAGTCTTCCAAGCAACTGTATAAACAATTGTTAGAAGAACCAAAATCTTCAAGCAAATCCAAAAAATGCATTTTTAAACCCATTTTTTATGTGGACTCATAATATATAATGACAACGATAAATTTTTTGCCACTTGACAAACTATTGTTAGTTTATGATAGAATTCGGCAGGCGTTTTTCAACTCTATCTGCTCTGTCATTCTGAACATAACAACGCGTTAAAAATGGCCCCCATATAGTTAATTTAGGCAGCTCAAGGAAAATAATAAAACAACTATGAAGACACAGTATTAATAATTAATCGACCCTTGTTTTACGCAAAGGGTATAATGTAGTATTATGTACAATTTCCGTCTAACCTATAGTCCAAGAACCACTAAAATTAGAAAGAAAAAAAAAAGAGTCTCGCTATTGTTTGACCTAAAATTTAGATTCGAGTTCAACCAATTAGATTTAAATAAAGTAGAGTCAGTCTTAGATAAGATTAATATCCAAAAGACAAAATAAGTGATTTGGTAGAAGATATATAATATGTATGTTTGACCAAATGACAATAAATGTGGACAACACTAACAATATTCCCAAAAGGTGGAAGATAGCATTAAATAATAATAAATAGCATTCATGTAAATAAGAACGCGAGTCACCCGAAAAAGGGGTGAGATTTGTGGATATTTCTTCTGACAGTGATTAATGATTGATGAGTCTTCGAATGTTCAAGTACTTCTTGGATCCTGTGGAAAAGTTATACAAGAATCTTAGTAAAAAGGTATTTCTCGTGCGCTTGCAATAATGCCAGAATCTCTCTATAAAGTCAATGTATTTTCTTACAAGTGAATATCTTCTATCTCCTATCCTTGTGTCTCTTTTTATTTATAGGGAACATATACCTAGAATACTCTAATAGTATGTGTACAGAGAATATCCACTAGAATATTCTCTTCTAATGTCTTATTCTAAAACTAACCGTTATTCACTCTATTTACGGTGAGTGCTCGACCTCGACTCTGATCTTCACTGACTCTTCGATCTCGATCTTCACTGACTCTTCGATCTCTATCTTTGCCGACTCTTCGACCTTGGTCTTCAACAGTTTCGTTGGCCCTGCCCTTCACTTCTTAAATCTTAAGAGATCGTTTCGGCGTCGGGCAGCAGATGCCTCTTTAATGTTAACATGATTTGATCATGTAAAAAGTATTTTTTGACCCATACAATTATCAATTGAAAAACTACCTTCCCCATTTCGCCTTGTATACTCTTCTTAATTAACATAGCAACTCAGACTTTAACTACTTATGTACTCTTATTTTCATTACGTAATAACGGTAATAAAACAATTAATGATGGCGAGTAGGATAACTTTACTGAATTGGAAGGGAAAAATATAATGTGATGAGCACGATATTTGAAATTTGGATATCAGGTAGCTATAGGTTAATGAACTAGCTGTGATTAATTGACATGAGTAGAAATCTGTGAGTTTTCGTAAACCAAACAGCGAAGAAGCAATGACTCTGGACATTATACTGAAATGCAATCTGGATTTACGTTTGATTAGTTTCGACACGGTTGGAGTTGTTAGAGCTACTAATTATTTTCAAACCTATATTAGGCCGGTTAATTAGCACCATGTCTAGGAAAGTAGCCCTAAAAATAATATTCATGCCAATCTTGAAAAATAATGCTTATTTAGTTTAGGCGGCAGCGAACTTTTAACAACTCAGATGTATGTCCATGATCAAAAGTAAGTTTATTCAGAATGAGTATTATCTGATTATTTGCATTCATTTTAAAGGACACAACATAATTTAATTACTAAGTCATCAACAACTTAATTAGCACCACACATATCTGAGGAGTAGCATATTAATATATATAGTCATTATATTAAAAAAAAATGCTTATTTCATTTACTCATCAGTGAAATTTTAACAACGGAAGGAGATTAACACCGTCTAGTTTTATCGAACACGATTATTCACTAAGAATGACCCAATACGATTTACTAAGTTATTGACAAGTTAATTCCACCATATTTTGAAGGGATTAACTCCTCTCCATTTCCTATTGTCTCCATTTTTTCAAGTTCCTACTTGGATGAATGCCATATGTCTCTTTTGATATTAATGGTTTAGATTTAATTTTCAAAAGATGATTCATAATATTAAATATATAATTTTCAGTTTTTTTATATTTTCTCCGATAAACTATATCAAAGGTGTCCAAAATTACTCCAAAAATCATGCTGCACATACAATTATACAGATTCTTACCATGGATTTTGCATTTTTGAGACTTGAGAGATCATTGTTAGAGCAAAATTCAACAAAATTGAAACACCCTAAAATTGACCCTAGAAAAGGAAAAAACAAAGAAAGAAATTTAGACAGTGAAGTTTCGCTGTTGCTGGAAGCAAATTGATTCTTCATGCCAAGTTCTTGCAAAGACATGGTCTGTAATATCAATTTAAGGATGAGATAAAGGGAATTTTAAGATCACTTACATCAGTAATTCAATAATTCTGAGGAATTATAGACCGTAGCACTCCAGTTTTAAAGCAATCAATTTCTCAAGATATTTTCTACAATTATCAGCTAGCTTCTTCCCTCTTCACATTGCCAGCCCCTCACCCGTCACTTCAAAAAGCAAAGAATTAAGAAGGCAAAAAAAAAAAAAAAAAAAAAAAGTTGTACATAAGGGTGTATATGGACCGGTATCGGTTTGGATTATGTTCGATTTTGTCGGATTTTTTGGTTTTTTTTACTTAAATATTATTTCAATCTTACTTTGTTAAATTTTTTATAAATAAATACATGTTCAGTAAAAATTTAAAAATTTGACAAATATATTATCTATTAAAATATTCTTATGGGATAATTTTCTTAATAACACATGATAGTTATTTTTCTAGTCGCCTGACAATAATTTTTCGTTGATGTATATTTTCAAGGTTAACCGTATTTAATAATTAAACGTAAAAATTTGTATGATACCTAAATAATAATAACCACTTCAAATTCGAAAAATATACAAGAATTTAATATATCTTGACATATGAATACGGAGGAACAAAGAGATTAACGCATTTCAGTAACACTTGATAAGAAAGTAATCATACAATCCATTATTTAAGGTTAATAAACAAGGAGCACTTCGTATTCTATTAAATATTATA